GACTTCAGAGCGGTTCCAATCCCATTTAACCATTCACCAGCATTATGTACTGCGGGGCTCTGAAGACTCAATGCGAGTCGTGGGAAGGCTCCTCTAGACCTAGGGGTAAGCTCAGAGGGCAGACACTTCCACGTGACAAAACTGGCCCTCACACCTGACAGCACAGACACTACTCTGAGACCACAGCATCCAAGCACTTTGGCAGTTCTGCCATATCGCAGCATTTTGCTTCAGGTTAACAGCTACTGCGGTGTGAGAAATGCTGCACTCGGCAGAGGAGGGGCCACTTTTGTTGTTCCACTGGTAACAGCCCAATTTTTTCATTAGCAGTAAATACGTGGCCTGGTCACCGGAAGCAAACATTATGGCTGACCACACATCCGCACACTTCTACTGGCAGTAAACTGCAAGAGTTTTTTAGCAGCTGAAGGCACTGACTCCCCAAGAGATGTTTGAGCTCTAGGTAAGTCAACAGCTTCACGTCTCCGGTGCCTGTGCACCCTCTCACTGGGACTGCGTATTCCCCGTGACAGAGGCCTGCTCCTACAGCTGGCCTGGGCAGACAGATCAGAGGATGAAGCACTCAACTCTTAACAGGCTTAACAACCCCCTCATCCCACATCTTCCCTCAAGCTCTGGCTGTTACATACCCATCAGTGGGGTCCTCAAATATCTTCTGAAGCCCTGAGAGGAGACTGCCACTGACGCTTGGACTAGAGCTGTGCTCAGTGGAACGCCTCAGCTGCTGCTGTATGGGCGTAGGGTTGGTCACTGATCTGGTGATATCGCTGAGAATACGAGGAAGAGGTCCCAGTTTTGCCATGGTCGCCTGTAGGAAGGAATTTTCACCCTAATTGGACAACAAGCACCGCGACATCCGCCAGTTTTGTGTGTTTGGTTTTTTTTTTGATAACGATGCACAGAGGCGGAGGGGTGGAGGTGGAGGAAGGAGGGTGGGTGGTTGTGTGCGGGTGTGCCAGGACCGTAATGCAGTGTTACGGAGCAGCGTAACCACGGCGACGAGATGGATGGAGGAGACGAAACGGGGTGCAGCAGACATTGAGGAAAGAAAAGGAAATAGAAAAGAAATTAGGATTGACCCCCAAAAATAAAAATCATGCTCAATAAAACAAAACTATTGCCATTCCAATGCAAAACTATCATGCAAAGCAAACTAAGTCCAGGGTGGGTGAGGTCAAAGTGAAAACTATGGTACCTACTCATTAAAGGGCATTCAGAGACTACAGGTTCAGCTCGTGGCGGGGGCTGTCCAGGCAAAGGGTGTCACGTGGTAAAGGAAATGCATGCCAACAGACAAGGGGATGCGGCATTCAGGGGGGTCATGAGAGAATTGCAAGGGTGAACGGAGATGGGGAAAGGGAAGGTTTCCATTTCGTAAGCCTTTTGCTTTTGGCACCCTACGCTGATGCCATCTTCTGTAGCACCCTGCTATCAAAATATAAGGCATTTCTTCCCTACCTAAAAGTGAAAAGTAACTGCATGAAAACAATGAACCCAACATTATCACATCAGCCTGGGATTAAATGTGTAGCTGCTTGTTCCATTACACGTTGGCTCAGCTTGGCCAGGCCTAGGATAAGAGCAGCTGCCCTTCCAGCAAGGAAGGCTGCTCGGTCAGGCTCTTTATCTTTCTGCCCTCTTTGGGTCCCTGCTGTTTATACCATCTACAAGGCACCTTCAGCCCTTCTTGGGACTGCAGGAAGAAGGTGAAAGAGCTGGAGGTTTATAAAAAGTAAAACTCTGCTAAAAAGATAACGTTCTTTCCAAAGATATTCTTATTTTTCCTGTAAGCAGGCATCCAGTCAGTTTGGCTCCAGTGAAAGGCCTCTTTACAGACACTGCTGTAGAGCACTTCTTCTGTGTCTATTAAAATCTCTGAGGTGACTTCTCTCATCGTTTCCCAGTCATTACCTACAGTAAAGCCGTATTACAATGTAACTTTACCCCTCAATTCTCTTTTTAGCAAACCACTGTACCAGGCTCCCAAGAGCCCATTAGGATAGATCCATGCACCTCAACCTACAGAGAGGGCAAAGCAAATCTGCTTCGCTGGTTTATCCAGGTCTGGCTCCTCTCTCTGCTTGCTGCCCAGGACATTTCCGATGGCTGCATTCAGACAGCAGCTCACAGTAACTAACACCAAGCCCAAAGATCTGTTTGCAGTTCTAAAGACTAGAGCTGGGTTTCTCTTTTGGCCCAAGACCTGAGCAGCTGCAGGGGGATGGCAGTGTTCCCTGCACTGGTAGGTCTACCCCGATCTGTAGAAACAAAGGATCGAGTCTCCTGAGTGCTCCCTGTGCCTGTTTTTCTGAGGCTGTTGAACTGTCTTTATAGATGACTTTGCTGCCTGTGACATTTTGAATGTGCACGGTGTGCATGTACGAGGGAAACGGAAAAACAAGACTAGAAATTGTTATCAAACTATGATTAACTATAATTAATGTATATTGCCTTTTTAAGTCAAGGACATTGCAATGTACCCTAAAGCAACAAGCTCAGTTTTTTGTTTTCCGTTTTAAATAAGGTACTGTGAGAAAACAGATATCCTACAAATAAGTATTTTGACAAACTTTAATGCAATAGAAGTATTAAGAGTGCGTTGCAATTCACCTCACCTCTCCAATTTCAAAAGAAAGAAGAATACAAATGGAATATGGACAAACTAATGCACCTCTAAAAGTTGAAATGTGGAACAGTTCCAAGCACTTGCAAAAAAATAATGACTAACAGCACAGCTTTTCTAGCTCTATCAACTACCTTCGCTGTCCTTAACGATTTTGGATCCTGCAAAGCCACACAGCTAAGGAGAAGCAAAGTACTGACTCTCCTCCTATAGCTAAATGGAAGCAGCGCTTATTGTTGGTGATGAAAGCATCTTGCCTTTTTTGTTTTGTTTTTTTACAGGATAAAACTGAAGGTGGAATCAGGTTTTTACAAGGCATCCTCTTGTAGACTAAAAACGAATCCAAAAACTGCAGAGATGAGAACATCCCAGCAGGCTTTGGATCAGGTCTTTAACGAGAGCCTGGCCACCACACTCCTCCATCAGAGCTGGGCAGGGCAGGACCTGGTGTGCAGCAAAGTACCTCTGTTAGCATCAAAAAGGGCACTGCAGCGTTTGCCTTTTCTGTCCAAACACCCTCCCTTTTTCCCAGCTCACTTATGAGAAAGGATTGGCCGCTCGGGGATTCCCAGGTCTACTTTTAAGCACTGCCCTCTCCACCATTTAAGAGCTGTCCTTATTTAAGACTCTCCAAAGTGTTTGATTACTGCTGATGCCCAACAACTTCACATGTCCTGCTTTAGGCCCTGATCTGAAATCATTGAAAGAACAACTGTGAAACACAGCTCTCAAACATTCCTCTCAAAAGCTGTCAAGTAAGTTCTCCCCAAAGCAGGCTTCAGCTGCTCCCTTGATGTTTCCTAGTGTTTGCTGTTGCTGCGACACAATCGCCGGATTCACCCTCTCGGGCCTCCAGCCTGCTTTACCTTATCAAGTTGGGACACAACCTCCCATAAGAGGGAATGCAGAACTGAGAGTTCTCTGCCCAGGTCGATGTAGCCCTCAAATCCAGGCATGGCTGAGACGCTATCGGAATTAGAGAGCTCAAGGAGAAAGCGCTTCATTCCTCCCCATTCATGTTCCAGGAAGTCATTCATGAAGGCCATATACTCTTCCTTATTACCAAACCTGCAAGAAAGGGGAGGGGAGGAAACCCAGTTAACAGCCTCCATACAAAACACAGTGTACAAGTGCTTACAGACAATTACTTTATCGCTTAGACTTTAGACCTGACTTTCTGAAGATTTACTCTGGGAGTAAAAAAAAAAGGACCAAGAAATCCACAGCTTTCTTGGAGTTTAAATACTACTGAATCACTGTACATATTATGATCAAAGACTCAACACATCTCTCCCCCCTCCCTCCCACAGACATCCCTTTTCTCCCCTTCTCTGCATCCCCTCCTCTGCAAGAGGCATGCCATGCCCTGTGTATCATTCAGCTTGGAATTTGGAAAGAAAAAAGGAGGAAAACCATGATCCTTAGTGGGAACAGGATTTTTTTTTCTTTTGAAATAGCATACACACTGACATGCTAATGCATGTCTTGGTTTTATACCTGTCCCCTCTAGCGAATTCAGCACAGCTCAAATCTGCATGTGAAAAGCAGACTTTATCTGGCTCAGTGCTGAGGCGTCTGAAGGGGAACAACATTCACATGTAAGTGAGAAGTTTCCTTCTTTTCTACAGGCGACTTCAATTTGCCAGAGCATCAGCTGTCTGCAAACAGGGTCACCAAGCAGGGCTCTCCTTGCTCCACAGGAACCTGCAGTGACTTGCACCCCAGAGGCACAGATTTCACTTTTATCGCCACCACCTACTTAGCAAAATTGGCGAGATTCTGAATAACTTTAGCAATCAGCGTGAGTGTGCGCGATGTCCGGTCGTCCGGGTACTCCTGCATGAGGTTGAAGAGGCTGGGGGACATGATGGCAGGGCACAGGAAGCGAAGGAAGAGGGAGGCACTGATCAGGCGTTCGCTGATGTCCTGCTTGCCCCTGCTCAGGCACTGCTGCTTCCAAGATGCAAATACCTCCTTCAGCTCACGAGGGAATGCACTGAAAAACAATAAACCAGGACTTAGAACTACATGGGCGATGAGATGCAACAAGCTGAACTGGTGAGCCATCACACAAAATAAGCATCTGTGAGAAAACATCAGTGGCTCTTTTGATCCCTCCCCTTTTCCTCTCTCTAGTCTAGGAAATGTCATTAGGCATCTATTCTTAGATTCCAATTTAATCTGGTCATACTTAAGTAGTCTTTAAAGCATCCCTTGTTCATATATGTTAAGTGAAGCCATTTTCAGGCACCCTGATTTGCAAGCTAAGAACTACTTATCCATCGCTACCCTGGAGCAAACAGGGTATTAGAATATTAAAAACAAACTGAACCAAGCTGAACTCATCTCTACAGCTGAAATTTTATTTTGCTTGTTAAGCTCTCTCAATATTTCACATGTGCTTTATCCTGAAGCCAAAAGACCCTTCTT